AGGAATTAATTGAACAACTAATGAAGTACAGTATTTTTCACATTGCCATTTTGGGGTTATCTCTATCATGCTATTGTATTTTTTTTCCAATAATGTTTTTGTGCATTTCCAGTGAGAGGTGCCAATTATTCTGCCAACCACTGAATGCAAGTCTGTCAAAACAAACAAACAAACAAACAAACAACAACAAAAAACATGCGTGCGAACATGAATACGAGCATATTTCAAAAAATGTTTTAGCTTTACTGGATGCGGTAACAAAAACAGAAACCAGGCAATTTCTCACTGTAATATCTCAGAGATACTTAAATATTACAGGATGTTGTAATAGTTCTGTCCAGTTGTTCATAATGTCCAGCTCTTGAAAATGAGCAGAGCACGGATTCATTTCACTTTGGACACTGATCATTCTGAGTGAACTGGCATAGAAGTCCTGGTCTCACTAATTAATTGACATTAATGAATGACTCCAGGGGATGGCAGGGATAGTGGCTTTGATGTTATCTAGTGTATTATTACCTTGAACCTGAAACAAGAGAGCCTGATGCCAACTGAGCTTGTTCAACAAACAGAGAAAAATGACTCAGCAGAACTCATTTATGATAATCATTATGTCATGGCCTAAACAATGAAAACACTTTCATGTTTCAACTGTGAAACCAGAGAAGGGAAATAATGAATAAATTGGTATAATCTTTGAGCTCTTCCATTCCAGGGTTGAGGAGGCAGTACTGTAATTCATTCTTTAAAAAGAGAGGTCATAAAGATGTGATTAGAATGTTCATGGATTCGTGGGCCCAACTTGACTTTCGTCACCAGCTTACACTGATGGTAATGGTGCAGTGGTGTGGGGAACATTGTCTTGGCATCGCACCTCAGGCGCCATAATACAAATAATTTTTTGTTTGAATGACGCAGCCTGCTGCATATTGTTGCGGACCATATGTATCCCTTTATGGCCACGATTCATCCGTCTTTTAATGGCTACTTTCAACACCATGCACCATGTCGCAAAGGAAAAGTAATCTCAAACTGGATTCATAAAGATCGCAATCATCAAACACCTTTGAGATGCGGAAGAAGAGAAGATTTGTGTTATGAACGTGCAGCTGAAAACTGTAGAAATTATGAGATTAAGTCATGTCAACTTTGACCAGACTCTCATGGGAGCGTTTGCAATATCTTGTTGAATCCTTCTCACAAACAACTGACGCTGTTCAGAGAGCAAGGACACCTTACCTAATATTAGTGTTGTATAGTTGTTGTGACACAGACAGAGAACCACATGCAGAGCCAGAGTACAACCCAATGAGGGGATTTATTGACAGGAATATGGTAATGATTGGATGGAAGAGAGCCCAGCGTGGAATGAACACAGTTCAGTTCAGTTGATATAATGGCTTGGGTATGGGGCACGGCTGCACTCGGCCAGTGGTGTTCCGGGGCAGAAACCACATGCTGATCACCCTAGCCAGAGCAGAACTGTCAGATGGCAGGTCCGAAGAGTTTAGCAGGAAAGGAGAGCCAATCTTGGAGACTGCTGAAGGATTGGGACGTGTACCTAAAAAACTGGGCTGACAGGAATGCGGTCCCAATGTAGGAGACCGGGGAATAGGCTTGGGAACTTGTTGTCATTAATAAGACTACGAAGAATACTTTGCCATTTTATTATACAACCCCATTTCCGAAATAGTTGGGACAAAGTGTAAATTGTGAATAAAATCACAACACAATGACTTTCAAATCACACCAGCCAGTATTTTATTCACAATAGAACAGAGATAACATAGCTAATGTTGAAACTGAGAAATTTTACAATTTTATCCACAAAATGAGCTCGTTTCAAATTTGATGGCTGCTACAGGTCTCAAAACAGTCGGGACAGGGGCCTGTTTACCATGGTGTAGCATCCCCTCTTCTTTTTAACACAGAGAGGAGGTGTCTGGGCATTGAGGAGACAAGTTTCTTGAGTTTAGCCATTGGAATTTGATCCCACTCTTGTTTAATGCAGGCTTCCAGCTGCTGGAGAGTTTTGGGTCTCCTTTGACGGACTTTTTGTTTAATTATGTGCCAAATGTTCTCAATCGGTGAAAGATCAGGACTGCAGGCAGGCCAGTTCAGCACACGGACTCTTCTACTACGAAGCCATGCTGTTGTAATAGCTGCAGTATGTGGTTTTGCATTGTCCTGCTAAAATACACAAGGCCTTCCCTGGAATAGATGTCGTCTGGAGGGAAACACATGTTGCTTTAAAACCTTTATAAACCTTTCAGCATTCATGGTGCTTTTAAAAACATGCAAGTGTCCCACACCATATGCACTAATGCATCCCTATACCATCAGAGATGCTGGCTTTTGAACTTAACGCTGATAACAGGAGGCGTGGTCTTTCTCCTCTTTAGCCCAGAGGACACGCCGCCCATGATTTCCAACAAGAATGCCAAATTTGGACTCGTCTGATCACAGGACCCTTTGCCACTTTGCTACAGTCCATTTTAAATGAGTCTTGGCCCACAGAACACGGTGGCGCTTCCGGATCATGCTCAAAAATGGCTTCCTTTTTGCATGATTGAGATTTAGGTGGCATCTGTGGATGGCAAGGCAGACAGTAGCTGTGTTTCCATCCAACTTGTATTGCAAATCTTAAGCGAATTTTCGTTAATGCGGCAAAAGGAAAAGCGCATTTGTGCACGTTTCCATCCACTTCAGTTATGCGCTTTTGTTTCACGGGATAAGCCGTAGGTGCCGTTAGGTGGTGATAATTCTCTATTCAATTGCCATATCTTCTGCAGAAGAAGACGGCGCACGCTATGACGTCAATAAGCGCGACGAACGAAAAGGAAAACAAACGGGAAAGCTGGTGGCGAAAACGAATGAAAGTAATCACTTAAGCTAGTGGTTACAAAGTCTTTAATATTACAGCTAGCACGGTAGTGTAAGGTTACAGTTCGCTTCTACTTTATCAACCACTAGCTAGCTAGCTAAAGTGATAACGAACTCTAACGTTATAGCTAGCAAACCAATGTTGCGAGGTAGCAAACTAGCTAGCTAGCTTGCCAACGTAGGCAAGCAAAAATGACGTAGATGCTAAACGTCATCATTTATTCGCAAAACTTGTTCGCTAACCCGTTTTCACTGCACTAAAGTGCATATATTTTTATCGATTCTGAAAATTTTCCACCCCCTCCTTGTGCAAAAAAAATTGATGCGATATTTCGAGTTGATGCGCATTTTGGCCGTTTCCACTCAGGTTTTTTTAAGCGCAAAATCAAAATGCGCATTAAAATAGGTGGATGGAAACACAGCTTGTGTTTACTGACAGTGGTTTCTTGAAGTACTCCTGGGCCCATTTAGTAATGTCAATGACAGAATCATGCTGGTGAGTGATGCAGTGGCGTTAGAGGGCCTGAAGATCACGGGCATCCAGTAAAGGTCTTCGGCCTTGTCCCTTACGCACAGAGATTTTTCCAGTTTCTCTTAAATCTTTTTATGATGTTATGCACTATCGATGATGAGACCTTCAAAGCCTTTGCAATTTGACATTGAGGAATATTGTTTTTAAAGTATTCCACAATTTTTTTACGCAAGCCTTCACAGGTTGAAGAGCCTCTGGCCATCTTTACTTCTGAGAGACTCAGCCTCTCTAAGGCATCCCTTTTATAGCCAATCATGTTAAACACCTGATTCCAGTTAATTTAATTACTTGCTGAATGTTCTTTCAGCTGATTCTCTTATATATTAATTGCTTTTTCAGCCCTTTTTTGCCTGTGTCCCAACTTTTTTGAGACATGTTGCAGCCAGAAATTTTGAAATAAGCTCATTTTGTGGATAAAAATGTAAAATGTCTTAATTTCAACATTTGAAATGTTATCTGTGTTCTACTGTAAATAACATATTGGTTCATGTGATCTGAAAGTCATTGCATTTTGATTTTATTCACAATTTACACTTCGTCCCAACTATTTTGGAATTGGGGTTGTAATTACTGGCTTCAATAATTTCAGAGGACAATAAATTCTCAAACTACAACGAAACACACTGACTGTTTGCTTAAGGGAAAAGCACGGACAATCCAGCAACCTTGCAAGACTCATAGTAAGGTTACATACGCAACCGAAACACACAGGAGTGGGGCGCACAAATACATTACACCTGGAGGGGGTGACACACTGGATGCTAAACCAATTAAAGGAGACAATACTTCTGAAAGACATGCAGGTTGCTGAATTGGAAGAGGATTCATATGATTCATATGAGGGCTGTGACAGTACCCTTATTCCCCAAAGGGCGCCACCTGGTGGCCCTGTGGTGGCCCCAAAATGCTGCAGAAGGAAATCACAGACCAGGGAGGGGTCAAGATTGTTGCTCTCAGGGACCCAAGAGTGCTCCTTGGGCCCATACCCTGCCCAATCCACCAGAAAGTAGCGCCTGCATCCCCTACACTGGACGTCCAAGATCCAACGCATGGTATATGCAGGGCCACCATCGCTGAACCTGGGGGCAGCCGGGGAGCAGGAGGTAAGACTGTTGGGAGACAAAGACATGGGTTTGATTCTCGAGACATGAAACACTGGGTGACTGTGACAAAGCGGAGGAGGATGGACGAGCCTGACCGTAGAAGAACTCGGTACTCTAATAATAGTGAACAGACCAGTGAGCCGGGGGCTGAGCTTCTGCGACATCTTCCGGAGAGGGATATCTTTCTTGATCAGTCATACCTTCTGTCCCAGCAGCTGGATGGCATTGATGGTTACCTTGCTTCTGCAAGGCAAATACATGCTTCAGTAGTATGTGTAGGCTCTTCTCCATCTTGGTGGTGGGCGGTTCAGGGTGGCGCAATAAACCAGGAGCTGAGAGGAGAGAGCTGCCAGATTCCTCTCCTTGGACTGGAATAAAGTCGGTTGGTTACCCAAACAACGCTGGAAAGGTGACAAGCCCAGTCCAGCAATGGGTTGCGAAATGTGAGCCAGCTCAGCCCAGGGAAGAAGAGACCATCTGGTGCTGCCGGATAGCTCACTCGGTTAAAGCACCACACTGTGAAGCAGGAGTGACTATCACGGCGCAGGTTCGAGCCCTGGTCGTACCATCCGGCAGTGGTCGGCAGCTTTTTTCAGACTAGCGCACAATTATTCATTGCGCTACAGGGATGCAAATTGGGAAGGGTCTGCCGGGAAGAGTTATATAAAAAGACGGTTGCTTTGTTCGTTGCTTAAGCGCCTCCTGTTGGCCAGACGGGCGCTCGTCAGGAAGATTCTAAGCTTTTTTCTTCTCTTTCTGCCCCACTAAATTCATATAGTTATTGTATTTGTACCACATCATTTCTTGTGTTTTGTATGCGTTTGTTTTATGTTTGTTTAGGTTTTACTGTTTTGGGGTTTTTTTTCCTTTTCTTTTTGTTTTTGTTTTTCATCCCTCTTTTACTTTATATGAACTGAAAAATGTATTTGCAAATATGTTTTAATTTGTCCGTGACTAATCATCATCTTTGACTTTCTGGCTGCCAATAAAAAAAAAAAAAAAAAAAAGGAAGATTCTAAGCTTGTTCATGTCCGGGTATCCTCCGCCCTTGTTCTGAACTTGCGAGGATTTAACCAATGAGTGTATAAGAAGCAGTGGCTGACAGGCGCGTGCTTCAGAGGAGAGCCGCGAGCTGTCTTCGCTCTCCTGAAATGGCAACAAGGGGTTGCATATGAACAAGCTTTGTACATAGTTTCCCAATTGGGCATTCTAGATTCGGGTGGGATTGGAGATGCCAAATTAAAAAAAAAAAAAGAGACCACATGGCAGGGTCACCTTCCGTCAGGCAGGGCAGAGGCTTGCCCAGCTCCTGGTTAAGCCTCTCCACCAGGTCTTTAGTCTCTGGGTGGAAGCGCAAGGAGACATGTGGAGTGGCACCCACCATGGTCTTCAAGAAGCAGTTGGCTTACTGAGGGCCGTGATCAGAGACCCCCTCCTGAGGTACACTGTGGAGAAAAACCACATGGAGAAATAGGAGCTCAGCAGTCTTCTTAGCCACGGCCAGCTTCACCAATGGCACAATAAGGGCTGCCTTAGAGAACCAGTCCACGGTGGAAGGGATGACCATGAACCCGTCTGACAAAGGCAACCTAGTGAAGAAATCCATGGTGATACTAGCACATGGCTGGCTGGGAACCTCCAAAGGCTGGAGCAAACTCTAGGGGCACTGATTTGGAGTGGGCGCCCAGAGTAGAGGCTGCATCGAATCCAGTCTTAGCTGATGGTGGGCCATCAGAAGCATTAACAAATGAGTTCAAGAGATGCCAGGATGGTATGCCAGCTGGGAAGTGTGGGCCCAGGAAAGGACATTGCTTCTCACTCTCTCTGGAACGTAGTGGTGACTGGTTGGAGTCTCCAATGGTGGGGGAAATGACTGCAACACCTCTTTGACTTTGCACTTGACTTTAAGCTTAGTGGCTACCAGAAGACTTTGACCCGAGAGGATGATTTCAGAATGATCGTCAGGGCTCTGGAGAGTAGAGTTTAGACAAAGAGTCAGGCTTGGAATTTTGTTTGGATCCAGAGTGATAGGTTGAGATGAATTTGAACCTTGCTATGAAGAGAGACCAAAGGGCTTGCTTGGGGTTCAGCCTCTTAGCAGTCGAGAGGTACTCCAGGTTGCGATTGTTCATCCAGATGAGTAAAGGAAGACTGGACTCCTCCAGTTAATGTCTCCACTCCTCAAAGGCAATCCTCACAGGCAACAGCTCCAGGTCACCAATGGAATAGTTTCTCTCAGCTGGAGATAATCGTTGAGAGAAGACGGCACATGGATGTATCTTGCCATAAGCTGCTGGTGGGAGAGTCAATTTTTTCTTGACTTTGCTCTGTAAAACACAATTTTATATGTAGTAGAAGTTCTCAGCTTTTCAAAGGCTCATTTCTATACTACGAACATCCAATATAAATTTGAACTGGCTTTTAATTTCTTCCTGATGAGTAACTAATTGAGCAATTATAGCATCTGATTGGCCAAATTGTCTTTACACCTGATCACCAGGGAAAAGGAGGGTGGAAAACCAGCAATTACTGGACATGGAGGATTGAGATGATCCAAGGTCTAACCTTCCTAGTTTCACTGCTCATACTTTTTTGGGGGGCTATATAAACACACTGCTTGTTTCTAAAAATTTAAAATTGAATCTACCCAAAAGCTGGTAGTTTATTCTTGTCTAAAGAATTCTGATAAGAACTATGTGTAACATCAGTTTCACAATAACTTATTGTATTAAGAATGTTGTTGAAAAACTTCTGCGACATGTTTTAGTTCAGAGAAGGATAGTATAGTTTAAAATAGAACCGCATACGCCAAAACCCCACTGTGAGGCCTTCTGTCAAAGGTGCTACACCACAGCATTAGCTCTCACTGTCAGTGAGTAAAACACATGAGAATTGAAAACAAAAACTGAATGCCTTCGCTATTTCAAATATCAGTTTGAATCAACATCATTTAAGGTCATTGCAAGGTCAGGTCAGACAGCAGATGTGAAAGAGGAAGGTCCACACAGAGGTAGGGTCAATCAAAAGAGGAAAGGGTTACTCATCACTGTTGTGACATATTCCAAAAGATACCAACATGAAGGATGTTGTTTGGTCTTTTTGCAAAAGATATCTCTGGGAGACACCTAATTCCTATACTGTATACATTTTTTTATTAATAGGTTGGAATATCCTTAAAGGTGGCAACCTCCACAGATTTTCAGGCCAGGCACAAGGAAACGGAGGAAGGAATTGAAAAATGAACAAACGGATTGTGCGAAAGGGTCGCCCTTTGCGTCCTCTGACCCACATTATCTGGCTGGGCCGCGTGGATAAATAAAAACTACGTTAGGGATTGTCCCGCAATGTGCAGGGTTATACCAGCAGATGGCTCTGCGAACATGTACTTTTGGCAACTGACTGAAATTCCGTAGACATCTCGAGCGTCCTTATATAAAATTCACCAAAAGAGGGCAATGTTTGACCAAATATAACAATTCTAGGGTACGTTTCCAAAAAGGTTAGTTGCTCGGCACTGCACTTCAGCAACTTAAATAGTTTGACCAGGCGTGCGCCAGAAATGAAATATTTTCTCAAATGACCATGTTTCCAAATAAAGCTTGCAAAAGTAAACATGGTTACATGCAATGACGTCAGCTGAAGAATGACCTTCATCAAGAAATAAAGCATATTCACATCAGGAATTTAAATATTCCCTTTGCCTTGTTAACTACAGGTAAAGTAGCGATTTCCAAAATACTGACAAAACCATGAAAGCCATTCTTACAGTACACAGCATACAGCAGTTATCTTAGTGCGAAAGGTTAATGTTCAATATGTACATTAATGTACATAATTTGAAGTTGCTGGCTGAAATTGCATTGTAATTTATCTCTTTAACTGCCACTTCCCATGAGCTATTTAGCTAATTTGAACATTTTTTTTACATTTATTTATGTAAAAGTCCAAAGAATAAAAAATAAATATGTATGTGATAAGAAGCTGAAAAGATCATTTGAGCTGTCTATGGAAAAAGATTGAACATTCTCATGCTTCCGGGACCCAGTCTCACAAAGCAGGATTACTGAGTTAACTGGATTACTGTACTGACTCAGTGAGCCTGGGATAACCACAATTTTTAAATGTATTGTCTCCTTTGATTGGTTTGCGTTCTGCATGCCTCCTACACCAGGTGTTATGCATTTGTGTTTCCCATGTTTCCCATTCCCTTACTTGCGTGCAGGTACCCTAGCTTTGATTGTGCAAGTCCCTGGATTGTTGCTTGCAATGTTCCCTTTCGTAACCAGTCAGTATCTTCCTGGTAAAAGTTTATCATCTTCAGAAATTACCGGTAAGCTTTAATGATAGTTGAATATGAAAGTGTTCTTCCCAGTCTCACTAATAAGAAGAAGACCCCAAGCCTTTCCTGTTCCGCTGCCCAGTTTATTAGGAATACCTCCCAAGCCTTCCGCGGTCATCAGGACTAGGACTGCACTCCTGCCATCTGACAATTCTGCTCTAGTGAATCAGGTTACTGCCCCAGGATGCCACTGGCCGAGCGCAGACATGCCCCAACGCTCAAGCCAACTCCATCAGGACTAAACTGTGCCATTTTGCTTGGGACTCTGTTTCTCTCAGTCATTACCGGATTACTATCAATAAAACCAACTACTGGATCTTGCTCTGTATCTTCATCTGATTCCTTGTCTGGATCATAACACTGAGACCAAATTTATATTTTAAAAATCCCAAAATGCCTTAGACTTCCGCGCAGCGCTGTGTCAGAGTGGCACAGCTGCTTTGCAGCATGAAAGTAGGTTTGAATCCGGCCTAAGGCCGTTGTGTGGATTTGGCATGCTTTCCCTGTATTCGCTTGGGTTTACTCCGGATTCTCCAGTTTCCTCCCTAAGTCCAAAGACATGCATATCTGGCTACTGGGAGACTTTAAATCATCCCAAGACATGAGTATTGTTGATAGTACGTGGTTCAATTTGTGCAGGCGTTTCGAAGACTGCGACTGATGACATGATATAGCCATAAAAGTGCCGAATTGCCATTACAAAATAATAAACAAACAAACAGAACTAAATATTGGATTGGGAATATGCATTCTAGTTTAGTTAGTTTAGCTTTAGTTTATTTTTTATGTCGAGCATGTATTAAAATATATATATATATATATATATATACACACAACCCCAATTCCGAAATAGTTGGGACGAAGTGTAAATTGTGAATAAAATCAAAATAGTCAGCTGCAAATATGGCTTGACCCCAAAAAAATTCTAACAAAAGGTTTCTCAGTGGTTTATAGTAGTATCAGATGTACTTAAAAACATACTAAAAGTTGACCAAAGTTTGACTCCAAGAAAGGCCCCATTTTCAAAATGGCGGCCGTCAGGTTCTTTGTATTCCTCCTAGACCAGGAATACTGGTGCCTGATGCATGTTTTGGCCATGTAATATTCTAATTAGCATATTTGCATGATAGATAAGTGATTACAAGTACAATTATATATTAAAGCAATTGGTTACAAGCATATTTATGCGAAAAATAAGTACAATTTCCCTTAAGTAATTGCATATTCCT